GGGGCAACGGTGGCTGATATATCCTCTAAGTAGGCTACTGAGGGTGTAAAGGCGAAGGGAGACGTCGTTCTACATGTCGGGTCAAATGACTTGTCGAAAGGTAATGGTAGTACATCCACCATCGATGACATCATAGCCTTAGCAGACGTGATTGCAGCAAAAGGCTCTGATATGTGCTTGTCTAGTGTTACACCGCAGATGGAAATCGGTTCACCAGAGGCGCAGTGTCGATGGGGTAAATGGGCGATTGAAAAGAGCTGCCCGTGAAAGGAGATGGGGTTTCATTGACAACGATAACATAGGTGACAGGCACCTTGGCAGAAATGGGGTTTACATCAATAAGGCAGGACAAGCCGTTCTTGCCTCGAATATACGCACTTTATTGAGCGACCTCAAGGGCCATCTACACCTACTCAGCAAGAGTCCTACGCTAAAGTTTTTTTGATCTTCAACGCAGGATTTTGAGATGATTGCACCGAGAGGGAGACTAAAATATGCACATGCTCTTCCAATGCTTCCACTGACAAAAGCTCAACAGGGGTGGCACGAGCATCTACGTCTCGTCATGGCAACATGCAGTTAAACTCTGTCTCTGGTACTGGTATACTACATCATAATCTTCAGGAACAATATCATTAACTGAATAAGAGTAAAATTAAACAGTTAGAAGGTGCTTCAGTTCCTCCGTTTAGAAACAGGGGCTTAAAATTTGCTCATTTGAATATTCATAGCTTAGTTGCTAAGATTGACGAACTTAGATTATTTCTGAGAAATGCATGATTTGATGTTATTGGTTTAAATGAAACATTTTGCAACTCCATGATTGATGATTCTGAATTGTATATAGATGATTATATTTTATTACGTACATACCGTACGAGACATGGTGGTGGTGTGGCTGTATATATATCCAAGAGGTTCAATTATAAAAGATCATCTACTTTAGAATGCCTTTGGTTTGAATTGCATTATCCAAATAAATCTCCCATCCTGGTTGGAGAGTTTTACAGACCTCCAAATTTTCGCGTTGATTTCTTTGAAGAATTAGACGGATATTTGGACTCTGTTCTCTCTGAAGATATAAGCTGTATTATTTTAGGTGATTTCAATTGTGATCATATGCCACACCAACTTGATCTAAATGCTGCAAAGTTAATGTTTTATACAAATATGTACGGGCTAAGTCAGCTAATTGATACTACCACAAGAGTTACATATACCTCTTCTACTTTAATTGATTTGATATTGTATCAGACGAGGAAATTTACAATGAATGGGGAATATTTGAAACTAGCATAAGTGATCATTAGTTCGTGTATACGATTCGCGATTTTAGTTCAAAGATCCATAACAAATCTGAATACGCAGAATTTCGCTCGTATAAAAAATCTTGACGAGGAGAAATTTTACAGTGAATTGAGAAGTACTCCTTAGCAGGTCATAAAAGATAAAGATAATGTTGATGTTGCGTCGGATATGTGGTTGACTCTATTCAATAATATAATCAACAAGCACATACCAGTATGTAAAAAGCGGATAAGAAAAAAAGGCATGTCCATGAATATCTGACGACATTGTTAAGCTTATGGCGTAACGTGATAAAGTTCTCAAAGCTGCTACAGCTAACAAAAGTGATGATCTTTGGGACACCTACAAATATCTAAAGAATACAGTTATTCATCTCATGAGGAAAAGGAAAAGAGAATATAATGCAAAATCATAACAATAGTAAGCAAATGTGGAGATGTTTGAGAAACCTTGTGCCTAAGTCATTACCTATTTCTCCCAATAGCATAAACGCTGATGGTGCTAATGTGTTAGACAATGCAAATATTGCTAAAGCTTTCAATGACTTTTTCATTTCTAATGCTACTAAGATTACAAAGGACCTGTGAAGGAATACGTCTCAACTGAGAGTAGACGAGGACAATAATATTGGTCCAACTCATTCGCAATTTAATTTGAATTTGATTACTGAGGATTTTGTATTGAAACAGATTGATAATCTGAGTATAGATAAAGCAACTGGTGAAGATCACATCAGCTGTTAACTTTTACTGATGACGAAGAATGTTATCGCAGAGTCTCTTTGTGATATCATTAACAAATCCCTGTCTACAGGAGTTGTTCCACGTGAATGGAAGAAGGCTCGGGTAGTACCCATATTAAAATCTGGAGATATTTCTTCTTTGAATAATTACCGCCCCATTTCAATATTACTTATCGTGAGTAAAATTATAGAAAGGGCCGTCCACCAAAAACTCAGTGAAATTCTTGGACGAGAATCAATTATAACTCCCTAATCAGTCTGGTTTTAGACCTAAACATTCAACAGCTACTGCCGTTGCAAAACTTGTAAATCAATGGTCGTTGAATATTGATAACAAAGAAATTTCTGGAGTAACCTTCATAGATCTTCGTAAGGCTTTTGATAATGTTGACCATGAGCTACTTGTACATAAACTAGCTTGTATAGGTTGTAGTAATAGGACTATTTATTGGTTCAAAACATATTAGGGATCGACAACAAGTGACCCAATTCAAAGGAGCCAAGTCGCATCCATCAACCATCAAATTAGGTGTGCCACAAGGTTTAATTCTTGGTTCCCTTTTGTTTTCAATATAGTCTACCTGAATGTACTCCTGAAGGTATCATAGATATGTATGCTGACGATAATTATGACACTTACCGTCAGTGCAAATGATGCAACTGTTGTGGAAGAAAAATTAACTGTTGCATTAAACAGAGTCATGGCATGGATTAAGGAAAATCGTCTTGTTCTTAACACTGAAAAAACTTGTGTCATGTTAATAGGCTCTCGTGCTAATCTCAAAAAATTGGATCTTTTTACCATTTCATTAAATGGCAATTTGATCAAAAGAGTTCAATTCACCAAATGATTAGGGCTTTAGATAGATGAAGAATTGAAATGGTCTAAACAAATCGAAAACGTAAGTAAACTTACCCAGTAAAACATTAGCACGATAAAGAGAGCAAAGAGTTTTTTCCTCAAAAATCCTTTAAGTTACTTTATAAAAGTCTAGTGTTGCCACGATTAGATTACTGCTCTGTTGTATGGTCGAACAGATTTCATTCTCACACAACTAAGCTGCAAAAAATTCAAAAGAGGGCCGCAAGAAAAAATATTGAACAAGACATATGACACACCATCGGCTGAGTTGTTCACAATTCTCAAATGAAAGACAAGCGGTTTGAGTTAAGTCGCGTTATGATGATATATAAATGCTTTCATAAATTAGCACCTTCTTACCTTCAGATAGGCTTAATCAATCCTAAAGATGTACATGAGCATCATACAAGGCAAATAGACAGTGGATGTTTACGTGTGCCTAGATTTCACACTGATTGTTATAAGTGTAGCCCAATTGTTTTGAATGGAATAAGCTAGATAATTCGTTGAGAACGGCTTCCTCTGCCAATTCATTTAAGAGATTGTTTAAACAAAGTTTTAATTTGTGAATGGCTCAGCCGAACATACACTACGTGCATGTTCTGTAATATTAACATGACTTATTCAAATAATTGCGACTTAATCAATATTTTCCTATTGACATTACTGTTTACTAGGTTAATATATATGTTTATTTTGCAAATGAGTATTTTTTTTAAAAAACTGTTCTATATAAACGTAATAAACGATGTAAATATGTTCATGTTTATTCAGAGCCCCATGGAAGACCACTACTTGTTGGTGAATGGGCTACACTGTCAAAAGATTAGAAATAAATAAATAAATAAATACCTTTTTTTTTAAATAGGATTGATATATTTCACTTTCATAGATATGTCCTCTTGGTTCTTTTATTTCATGGTGTAGGTGGCTTAGTACCTTAGTGTTTGTACCTTAGTACAAACATGGGTTTAAAAGTAAACGATTATGAATATATTCATGCATACAGCTATACAGAGTGAGTCAGAAAATATGTCCCACTTTTTATAAGTTGTATTGTTTGGAGTATGAATATTTAATCATGGGTGTCATGATATGTCTTGATAGAGTTATCCTCCCAGTACATTTAGGTATTTTATTTATCAATTTTATTTGAATTTCTACATGCATGACTGAACATCAGACAATCTTTGCAAAACTGCCAGATCTCGCTTGCGCCAAGTCACAAAGACAGTCAGACACACACACACACACACACAAACACACGCACAAAACGCATTCACGCACACACGTACGCACAAGCACGCACGCACACAAACTGAACACATACACACACACATACGCACAGCACACGCACAGGCACACACATTATAAAAATAAAACAATTCCCGACAAGGCCCACCCAAACTGTTACTTTTTGTCGGGAATTCTTCTTCTCGTACGAAAAGTTAAGTGGCCGTTGTTCTCTTGGCGCGTACTGGCGGATGTTGTGCTTCATGATTATGATGATGATCATCATCATGATAATGATGAAGATTAAGATGATGACAATGATGATGATGACATGATGGTGGTAGTGAACGTGTACTAAAGGTAAATATTGTCAGGGTTATGCCACTTAAACATTCAGCGATATTGATACAAATCAATGCTTAATCAGAAAAAAGGAAATTACGAAACAAATTTAATCGTGTGTGTTGTGTGTGTGTGAATATTACATTTCATTTGCAATAACATAGTTATAAATGTATAACTATCTTATTACTCACTATTTATTTATTCCTTATACAGGCTCCTCTTCAGTCTCCTTCCTTTATCACCCTTCTCTCTCTCGCTCTCCCCTCCCTACTTTTTCCACTCGATTTTGCTCATTTTTGTTGTAACTTAAATATGACAGGAAATTCTATGGCACTGAGAATACTGATAAACACACACATGGATGAAGAATCATTTCAGACTTTCTCCATTCGTTTGTGTAGACACCCCGGAAAAAAAGAGATATTATGTAACGTATGTGTGGTATGTAGATGTCATATCATGACTTTGACTCATTGAATATCTTTCCGTTGAATAGAGCTAAATGAGACGATGCTAATCCAACAAGTTGAGGAGCTAAAGAAAGGAAGAGAGGAAGACAGAAAAAGAGCTGAAAAAGAGAAGCACTCATTGGCAGCAGATATGACGAAGCAACTCGAGTCTAAGCAACATCATGTAGAGACTTTGACGGAAACCGTAGGGGAGAAAGAGCGAAATGAGACGACCCTAAGACAACAAATTGAGGAGCTAAAGAAAGGAAGAGAGAAAGACAGAAAAACAGCTGAAAAAGAGAAGCACTCATTGGCAGCAGATATGACGAAGCAACTCGAGTCTAAGCAACAGCATGTACACACTTTGACGGAAACCGTAGGGGAGAAAGAGCGAAATGAGACGACCCTAAGACAACAAGTTGAGGAGCTAAAGAAAAGAAGAGAGAAAGACAGAAAAAGAGCTGAGAAAGAGAAACACTCATTGGCAGCAGGTATGACGAAGCAACTCGAGTCTAAGCAACAGCATGTAGACGCTTTGACGGAAACTGTAGGGGAGAAAGAGCGAAATGAGACGACCCTAAGACAACAAGTTGAGGAGCTAAAGAAAGGAAGAGAGGAAGACAGAAAAAGAGCTGAAAAAGAGAAGCACTCTTTGGCAGCAGGTATGACGAAGGAACTTGAGTCTAAGCAACAACGCATAGACACTTTGACAGAAATCGGAGTGGAGAAAGAGCGAAATGAGACGACGCTAATACAACACGTTGAGGAGCTAAAGAAAGGAAGAGAGAAAGACAGAAAAAGAGCTGAAAAAGAGAAGCACTCATTGGCAGCAGATATGACGAAGCAACTCGAGTCTAAGCAACAGCATGTAGACGCTTTGAAGGAAACCATAGGGGAGAAGGAGCGAAATGAGACGACCCTAAGACAACAAGTTGAGGAGCTAAAGAAAGGAAGAGAGGAAGACAGAAAAAGAGCTGAAAAAGAGAAGCACTCATTGGCAGCAGATATGACGAAGCAACTCGAGTCTAATCAACAGCATGTAGACACTTTGACGGAAACCGTAGGGGAGAAAGAGCGAAATGAGACGACCCTAAGACAACAAGTTGAGGAGCTAAAGAAAGGAAGAGAGGAAGACAGAAAAAGAGCTGAAAAAGAGAAGCACTCATTGGCAGCAGATATGTCAAAGCAACTCGAGTCTAAGCAACAGCATGTAGACACTTTGACGGAAACCGTAGGGGAGAAAGAGCGAAATGAGACGACCCTAAGACAACAAGTTGAGGAGCTAAAGAAAGGAAGAGAGGAAGACAGATCAAGTGCTGAAAAAGAGAGGCGCTCATTGGCAGCAGATATGACAAACAAACTGGAGTCTAAGCAACAACGCATAGACACTTTGACAGAAATCGTAGGGGAGAAAGAGCGAAATGAGACGACGCTAATACAACAATTTGATGAGCTAAAGAAAGGAAGAGAGGAAGACAGATCAAGTGCTGAAAAAGAGAAGCGCTCAATGGCAGCAGATATGACGAAGCAACTCGAGTCTAAGCAACAGCATGTAGACAATTTGACTGAAACTGTAGGGGAGAAAGAGCGAAATGAGACGACGTTAATACAACAATTTGATGAGCTAAAGAAAGGAAGAGAGGAAGACAGAGCACAATCTGATAAAGACAAGCTCTCATTGGCAGCAGATATGACGAAGCAACTTGAGTCTAAGCAACAACGCGTAGACAATTTGACAGAAATCGTAGGGGAGAAAGAGCGAAATGAGATGACTCTAAGACAGCAATTTGAAGAGCTACGGAAAGGAAGAGAGAGGGACAGAGTGCGATTTGAGAAGGACAAACTGTCATTAGAATTCAGCTGGAAGAAAGAGCATGACCATAAGGAACAGGTCTTGGAGCAACTCGAGCGTGAGACCTGGAAGCTGAGAACCAAAATTCAACTAGAAAGTGAGATACGATCAACAGAGCGGAAGAAGAAAGCAGAGACACAACAATGGAGTTTCATTCCTTGGAAGACCTCTGGAAAACAAGCACAGGGTGGTAAGATTTTATTTTCCAATCTCATTTTCCCTTTCAACCCTTTTTTGTAAATATACATTATACTATATATTAAACTCCCATTCCGTTTTGGCTACTTTTTAAAATATTCATAATGTTAAGCTTATTAAGTCCAATATGGTCTTTTTAGCTTCCTACCCTATTTGCTACTTTGCAAATACTTAAAATATATTGCTTATCACAGTCCAAATTAGTCTCAAACCTAAATTTATTTATTACTTGTTTTTTTTTTTGTTGCTTCGCCTTTCGATTACATTATCCTATGAAACTAGAGCTATGTAATGCTTGTGGAATATTTACACTTTAGAAGTTAACAAAAAAATACATAGAGATACAGTGAACGATAAACATCATTCCAAACATTTCTCTTATATTCTTATTTTCTCATTCAACCTGACTTCATTCCTTCGTGACAGGCACATCATCATCTGAGGATAATTCATCCGGAGGACTGGGAAGGAGTGATACATTACAAGCAGGGTGAGATAAAATATATATATTCTTATAGTGACAAATCTACTATGGAATGTACTTTTGTGTGTAAAATGAGTGATGCTAGACTGGCAATAATAGTTCTAAAAGTACGGCAGCACTTATGTTCTATGAATCAAAAATCATGTTTAGAAATTTCATAACCACCTGTGATTAGGTGGAAGCAGAAGTGAATAAAAGATTAAAACTCACTAACAAAGAGATGAGAATCGTAGCTGCATTCCATTCTATGGTGATTAGGGTTTTAAAAAAAGCATGTTAAGTAATGGTCTTATCACTGGGAGAACGTATTTTCCCTTTTTTCATCACATAATGACAGATTTTAATTATTTTTAAGTTGATACGTTCTCTGACCGCCCCATGTCTTTTTTTATTACCGGATACCATTCTAGAGAGGAGCCCCCAGATGATGAGTTTGCAGGCATATTACAGCAGATAGCTGACGATCTTTACGATGAAGCCAAGATCGACAGCCTTGCTGGTCAGCTGGGAATCCTACATAGTGATATACAGAGAGCGCTCATGACCAATGTGAAGTTCAACCGTGTTACCAGTGATGGAACTCGCCACATGCTGAAACAATGGAGAAGAGGTGTGTCAAGGGAAGCTGAACGGATTGAGCTAATGAAGGCACTGCAAGCTGCCAAGTTGGTCAACCTTGCAGACCTGTATCTCAGCAAAAGTAAAGTATACGTTCACAAAGAACAACTGTAGTTTCGTAACAAGGACCCAATTCAAAACTTCCGCAACATGCTGTTATATTTGGTGTATAATACGGCCCATGTGTTTAGAGTCAGATTGATAGTATTTTGTTTAAACAAGTTCATTTCCCACATTTACACCGTTGATATAAATACTAAGGATACTTAATGCAGAGAAAAGAAAGAAAAAGAAATCTCAGATACTACTTTAAATTAAAATTTTCCTCATTACAGCTGTGCACACGAAAAATCCAAATAGATGCTGACTAGTAACGTAAAGTTTTCTTCTACTAGACTAGCTGGTATAAAACATAAACATTAAAGAAATTTGAAATTTACTGCGACAAGTTCTACACAATCAAGTCCGATAAGATGCGTTTTGAGAAAGAAAAAACACAATTTTTTGTTCTCTTTCTTGCTGCCGGTCAGGTGAAGCAGAAGACCAGATCGATGCTGAATATGCCCACGAAGACGTCAATAATCAGCAGCTCTCCAATAGAGAAGAGACCTCTCTAGAAGAGGACCAGACCAAAGGACACACTGACGACATACAGGTACTTCAGGAAGCTACCTCAAGCAGTAACGAAACTCCTCGAGATGAGCATACAGAAGACATGGCTTCCAAAACCCAGGAGGACTTGACAGATGGAAGTAGGAGTCAACATCTTGACCAATCACAGGAGCGCAGTACGGAGGACTTGGATGAACCTGAGGTGACTTCTGAAGAAGTGTCATTTGAAGAAGTTCATCCTGGTGATGATATGGACAACGTTAGTAGCATTCAACCCTCTGAACAATCGCCCAGCCATGGAATGCCAGTCCTACCTGAAGACATGTCTGAGAAAGCCCCTCTGGTATCTTTTGGTGGGAAACCCAACGAGGAATCCACCACCTTGGATACAAGCCATGTAGGCGGAATCATAAGTAACGACGAAGAGCTGATTTCTCAACTCGTTCTTATTGATACATCCCCGGAGAAAATATTGCTCCTTTTCCTCTTGAAGATAATGATGGATGTTTCCCAGAAAGCACTCAGTTTATAAAGAATCACCATTGAACCTTCATCGAGTAAAGTTTACTTACATTAGTTTAGCTTGCGACGTTTCAGGTCCATTCCAGGACCCTTTACCAGAGCAAATGATTGTTGACCCATGAACGCGGTGACGTGGTCGAGGAACGTTGGCATGGTCGGCCTGGTGAAGCATCTGTGGACGTAAGACGTCGCAATCGAAAACAAGTAAATCCAGCTGACTTTTTTCAGATACATTATCAACTGTCTGAATGGTTTGAGAGAGTCATAGACAAAACCTTTATAACTATTAACCCAACCATATTATATCCAAACACTGCATGTATAATTTCAACATTGTTAATTTTGTATAAATATTACACGAATTGCATGCAGAGCGGGATGTTTTTAATGAAGATTTGAATGTTCTTTTTGGCAAATATCTGGATATAGAAATTCGATTGATTTTAGTAGTTATTACAAGAGTCATTTATTATAACCTGAGCAATTTCAATTTATCGTTACACATCTCTCAACAAAATATTATGCTTGATCAATCCTATAATATTATTTTTTCCATGTCACTGTACTTTTTAAAGCCCCACTGTCCTACTTGTAGCTACTTGCTCCCTCTATATAAAAAAAACTTCTCCAATCGGTGCCTGTCGGTCCCCCATGATCCTCTTTTTCTTATGTTAGTTGACAGCTGAGTTGATGAGATAGCGACCTGGCTGGGTGGTCTAATCCCTTCTGGCCCAGTAGTATTGACGGTCTTTAAAAGAAATATTAATTCAAAGCAGAAGAATCGAATTATTTAAATTTAAAAAAAGCTGCAACGCTCGTTGTTATTTCTGTATCTACCGCCATTTTGAAACATAGTTCAAACAAGAGTCACTTATTTTTTAAAGACAGTATCTTGACCTGAAAATATCTCTAACTGTTTTTAATGTTTTTGATTACACAGATTATATAAGAAGATTTAGATGGAGACATGATAGATGTAGGCTAATACGGTAGAACTTAATAACCAGTTGGCTTATTACTATAACATTAGCAGAAACTCATTTGGTTGTACAAAGATGTGTTCATACACATGGTATTCCATGTGTGCTTGTGTGTGTGTGTGGGTGTGAGTTTGTGTGTGGGTGTGTGTGTAAGTACATCCATACATCCATGTGGGCTGAGCATGTAACATTCAGCAAGACTGATTGAGTCGATTTCCTCTCATGTCGGTGATGCCGTCACAATAAGGGATACAACACTGTTTATATGAAACACAATCAGCTCTTGGGGTTTTTCAGACAGTTGCTTGACCAGATCTCAAAAGTATATGTAACTGTTTTTAATGATTTGAGAGCATGTAAAACAAAACAAAAAGAGAAAAAGGAGTAAGAAAGAAATGGTTAATATTTCATGAATTCATTTTAAGAACATCTCTTATAAAACATTTTATACCGTGGTGAAAGCATACCAGGTACCCTACCATTATGAAATGGAATTGCTGTATAATATTCGCTACATGTTTTCCTATGATACTTTTGGAGTTGAAGCTTTGTAATGTTTGGCATTATAATTCTGATTTTCATATGTCATATTTTTAATCTTATGTTGTTTTTCATAGTACCATTATTATCTATTGTTCCTTTCCTAAAATATTATTTTCAAAATATTTAGGTTAAACAGAAAAATACACAGATTATATAACAAAGGACTTAGATGTAGAAATGGTAGATGTAGGCCAATACGGTGAAATAAATAACCAGTTGGCTTATTAGCAGAAACTCATTTGGCTGTACAAAGATGTGGTAATACACTGGAAATGCAAATATTTACTATGAAAGAAAATTCCATAATCTCTTGATATGTTAATAAAAAAAAATACTGAATAGATGGAATTGTATTACTTTGCGCTTGCTATACATCAGTCATTATTACTATGTATAATTATACAGAAATGCGCTGTGCTTGGTCGTAATTAAACGTTAATCACATGTACAGTATGCAGGCATTAAGAAAAAAGAAAAGAAAAAAAAAAGGAGAGATAAAGAAATGGTTAATATTTCATGAATTTATTTTAAGAACATCTCTTATAAAACCTTTTATACCTTGCATACCAGGTACCCTACCATTATGAAATGGAATTGCTGTATAATATTTGCTACATGTTTTCCTATGATACTTTTGAGTTGAAGCTTTGTAATGTTTAGCATTATAATTCTGATTTGTATCCATATCATATTTTCATATGTCATATTTTTAATCTTATGTCGTTTTTCATAGTACCATTATTGATATTCAAACCTTAAATTTATTTTAACTGATCTATTGTTCAGTTCTTAGAATATTTTTTTCTAAATATTTAGGTTTAACGGAAAAATACACAGATTATATAATAAAACAAGACTTAGATGTAGAAATGGTAGATGTAGGCCAATACGGTAGAACCTATAACCAGTTGGCTTATTAGCAGAAACTCATTTGGCTGTACAAAGATGTGGTCATACACTGTAAATGCAAATATTTACTATAAAATGAAATTCCATAATCTCTTGATTTGTTAATAAAAAAATACTGAATAGATGGAAATGTATACTTTGCGCTTGCTACATCAATCGTTAGTACTATGCATATAGAGAAATGCGCTTTGCTTGATCGTAATTAAACGTTAATCGCATGTACAGTATGCAGGCATTATCTGCCTGCAAAATGTCGTTTGGGCTTAGTTGGCATCCTAAATCAGACAACTCTTGATGTCTGTGTATCCTAGAATTGCAAATGTATTTTTGGCTGTATAGCACTTAGGAAATGCTAGTCGGTCATAGAAATTGTGTTTGATATTTTAAGTCATATGCAATTGTCATCATGTATATTACAATGTACATTTATGTAGCATACATGATACTCTGCAAATTATGTAAGAAATAAAGTGACATGACTTTGGCATTATAATTCTGATTTTTATCCATATCGTATTTTCATATGTCATATTTTTAATCTTATGTCGTTTTTCATAGTACCATTATTGATATTCAAACCTTAAATTTATTTTAACTGATCTATTGTTCAGTTCCTAAAATATTATTTTCAAAATATTTAGGTTAAACGAAAAAATACACAGATTATATTTTGTTTTAAAGACTTAGATGTAGAAATGGTAGATGTAGGACAATACGGTAGAACATATAACCAGTTGGCTTATTAGCAGAAACTCATTTGGCTGTACATAAATGGTCATTCACTGGAAATGCAAATATTTACTATGAAAGGAAATTCCATAATCTCTTGATATGTTAATAAAAAAAAATACTGAATAGATGGAAATGTATTACTTTGCGCTTGCTATACATCAGTCGTTAGTACTATGTATAATTATACAGAAATGCGCTGTGCTTGGTCGTAATTAAACGTTAATCACATGTACAGTATGCAGTCATTAAGAAAACAAAACAAAAATAAAAAAAGGAGAGATAAAGAAATGGTTAATATTTCATGAATTTATTTTAAGAACATCTCTTATAAAACCTTTTATACCTTGCATACCAGGTACCCTACCATTATGAAATGGAATTGCTGTATAATATTTGCTACATGTTTTCCTATGATACTTTTGAGTTGAAGCTTTGTAATGTTTGGCATTATAATTCTGATTTGTATCCATATCATATTTTCATATGTCATATTCTTAATCTTATGTCGTTTTTCATAGTACCATTATTGATATTCAAACCTTAAATTTATTTTAACTGATATATTGTTCAGTTCCTAAAATATTATTTTCAAAATATTTAGATTAAACGGAAAAATACACAGATTATATAAAAAAAAATACTTAGATGTAGGAATGGTAGATGTAGGCCAATACGGTAGAACATATAACCAGATGGCTTATTAGCAGAAACTCATTTGGCTGTACAGAGATGTGGTCATAAACTGGAAATGCAAATATTTACTATGAAAGGAAATTCCATAATCTCTTGATATGTTAATAAAAAAATACTGAACGGATGGAAATGTATTACTTTTCGCTTGCTACATCGATCGTTAGTACTATATACAGAAATGCGCTTTGCTTAATCGTAATTAAACGTTAATCGCATGTACAGTATGCAGGCATTATCTGCCTGCAAAATATCGTTTGGGCTTAGTTGGCATCCTAAATCAGACAACTCTTGATTTTTGTGTATCCTAGAATTGCAAATGTATTTTTGGCTGTAAAGCACAAAGGAAATGCTAGTCGTTCACAGAAATTGTGTTTGATATTTTAAGTCATATGCAATTGTCATCATGTAAATTTCAATGTACATTTATGTAGCTTACATGATACTCTGCAAATTATGTAAGAAATAAAGTGACATGACTTTTGGTTATAATGTAAGCTACTAGTAACATTTCATTGTATTCTCAATATATCACTAATTTGTATTTCTCTACCAGATCGTTCTTCGGCTTAATATAATTTTACTTACAAGAGAATCATAGAGTTTGCCACAAAATGTTCAATAAATGATTGGAATATACGTATAGCATTGATATCTCTCTTATGTGTAAAGTTTTTCGGAAGTCAATCAAGGTGTCGGGAGGGTATAATTATTATACAGCCATAATTGAACCCCTTGTCATCAACGGGTACGGGCATGCATTCTACACCAGAGGGAGGGGACAAAGATTTTACCCTCGCCTTGAACTTGTTTAGTAGAAGATTATGCAAGTTTGAAGGGGAGGGGTATTTACTCATAAATGATAATACATGTACATGTATATGTAACAAAGAGGAGCATTTGCGATAGACTTGTTTGTGTATTGAAAAGAGAAGTATTTAAAAAGAGGGAGGGGGAAATGGAGAGAAAAATAGAGAGAGCAATGAAGAGAGAACTAAAGAATAGGAGAGAGAACCAAAGAGGGAGAGAGAGAGAGAGAGAGAGAGAGAGAGAAGGGGAGGCGGGTGGGAGCATGCATACGTTTCAACTTGCATTATTCAAATCAAGGCACTATGAATATTTAAATGGTAAATGCTCTCGAAAGGGCAAAAACATAACGATCAACTTTAAAACTCTAATATGAAGTTGACAGAATTATAAATTGCATGTTAACTTCTAATGTTTTATTTACTTAAAGCACGAACAAAGTGCCATTCTAAATTGAAATGCACAAAGCAAGACAAAACAAAGATAAACGACAAGTGTTCGTGAAATATGTTTCGTGTTAATATTGTAGCATAATCGGTCCAGTATGTAGTAAGACGTAGAGGGCGTTACAGATAATTGTGAAATATATTCATGTACATCGTAAGATTTCAGGCAGTCAGCGTTGAGCTGTCGTTGCGACAAGTACGTTACAAGGAACGAGATAAAGTTACTTGAACTGCAGATACTGTATAAGTGTTGTTTCTTCAGTTCATGTCATACATTTAGTGGTTGCGGGAGTAAGTAAAATGAGAGCTAGTCCACGTTTCTTTCTTACACGATATACTTTTGTGAGAGCCCACTGAGCGATCGTTGATGAATGATTGTCGAGAGCGTGAACCGGGTTTTGAGAGACTGCAAGGCAGAACGCTACCCTGGCAGAGCCCGGTTACGCCATAATATTCTTCCCTTAGTGATTTTTTTTAATTTAGCCCTGGAGCCCAAACTATACTTCACTTTCACTCTTACCAGGCGCGTACGCAGAGGAGGGGGGGGGGGAGGGTTAACCCCCCCTTGAGTTTTGTTTATGTGTATGTTTTGTGTAAACCGCTCTCGAAAATAATCCTCTTCTGAATTTAGTTTTCCCCCTCCCGCGCGAAGCGTGGAAGCTTTTACGGTTAATTAAATCATTAGCGAAAGAAGACGATTCGTTGTACCATCATGACTTTTAATCCTCGTCTAAATGCAGTTTCCCCACTCCCGCGCGAGGCGCGGAAGCTTTTACGTTTCATGTAATCATTAGAGAAACAAGACGTTTCGTTGTAACGTTCTCAACTCTTAATCCTTGTCTAAATTTAGTTTCCCCCTCCCCCTCCGGCGCAAAGCGCGGAAGCTTCGACGTTTCATTAAATTATTAGAGAAAGAAGAAGATTCGTTGTACCGCTCTTGAAAATAATATATATGAACCGAAATGTTTATCATAACACAGGAACGTTGAATTGAAATGCTGACTCTAAACAGATTTTCAACATCGTGAAGAAACTCTCCACTTCTATTCAGTCTTTTATTTGTATATCGTTCTAGGAGGCGCGATAGCTCAGTTGATAGAGCAGTGGTCTCGTAATCCGCTGACCCGGAATCGAAACCAAGTCGATGCGCTAGTGCCCTTTGGTAAGGCATTAATCCTCATTACCAGGTCCCTCGGAGAGGACCTATATCCGTCGGCCGTCTGGTTGCTTACTTACAAGCATTTATGCTTTCTTAGCAATCAGGTAAAATAACCACCACGTGTTGTACCGAACACTAATTCGATTCTGAACTCGCAAATCAGTTCAGTGAGTACCTCAAAAATTAGAACCAAATGTCCTTGGCAATTACGGCCCTATTAGAATTTGCCATTTGTAAGCAAGCTCTTGGAAAAGATTGTGGCTAACCAACCAATGTATACCTTGGACAGTAATCATCTGCTCCCTGTAAATTAGTCCGCGTATCACAATCTACTCCTTGCTGTTGACAATGGTAATGAGGTCGTTCTACTTCTTTTGGACTATTCCGTGGCGTTTTACTCGCTCGACCACACCGTGCTGCTATACAGCGTCTTGCAAATGACTACACTTATTCAGGGACTGCCCTCCAATGGATCGAGTCATACCTACAAGACCGTATAGAGTGTAATACTCAATGGAACCTGCTCAGCTACCCTTAATTTCAGCTGCGGAGTTCCCCAAGGCTCCGTCATCGGCCCTCTGCCATTTCTTCTTTACACTGGTCCTCTCGCAAGAACCATCAATCGTCATTAGGGTGTGAACTACGCTATTTATGGATGACACTCAAATTCATCTAACTATGTCACCTTATGGTAACATCGACGCTGTCAATTCACTAAAAGATTGTCTTATGAACATCAAGGTCTAGTCAGCCAATATCAGACTCTGTCTCAACGAAAAGTCAGAACTGATCCATTTTTCTTCACAGTTCAGCAGCACGGTGTCTCTACCAGATCTGACAAGTGATGAGGGTTAACTAGTGACCTCTGACTAGGTTAGAGACCTCGGTATTACATTGGACAAACACCTTTGCTCTTCAAAAGCACATCGAAAACGTCTGCAAATCTGCATCTTTAGGCATCTACCAAATTAGAAAGATCAGGCGACTGCTTGAAAAAGCCTCCATTGAAAGACTTGTCCACGCCTTCGTCTCCTTCAATCTGGACTATTGCAATTTCCTCCTTGCCGGCCTTCCAAATTCTCATATATCTCCTCTCCAGCGAATCCAAAATTCAGCAGCTAGAATGATCACATTAAGAAGGAAACATGACCATTTATCCGGTGTTCTTCATTCACGTCATTGGCTATCGGTCCATTCTCGCATTACTTTCAAGATCTACTTCTTTCATACAAAATAACACATAACCTTGCCTCTAAATATCTTCATGACCTAGTTTCGCTTCGATCCTGCTCTTCTTCCAGATCCCTCCGTTCATCTTCCTGCATGCACGGCGCACGTACAGAAACCTATTATGGTGACCATGCCTTTCATCGATCGCTCCCGTCCTTTGGAACAAACTCCCATCCCGTATTCAAAATTCCCTATACATTAAATCATTCAAAACCCTTCACAAAACCCACCTTTTTAATAAGTTAAAAGTATACTGGTTGCGCTCACAAGAAGTTAATTCCATTCAACTGAATTGTATTGCTTTAGTAATATTTTATTTTATTTGGTTGCTTTTAAGCTATTGAACATGTTGAATAATTAACTGAGTTAGACGCTATCAAATATTGGCTTAGACTAATACACCTATACTTATTAAGCGCCCTATAAATGTAATTATTATTAAGAGTGCATTGAGGTGACCGAATATATGTTTTTTGTGTATTCATGTATATTTGGTGGGGAAGTGCCCGCATACATCATGATATATCTTAACTTGTGTGTTGATTATCAACAAAATTGTTACCATATAAGAAATTGTACAAGGCCATTGAAATTGCCTTAAGATTATTTCGAAAGTAGTTGGGACCGCGTACATCTTCAAATCTTTGCAATGTAATGTACACGCATTGGCATAGCGAGAAGGATGTTTGGGGTTTTCAAACACCCCTTCCCTGGCAAACAGAGGGTGTTATAGGTGTTCAAACCTCCCCCCCCCCCCCCCTTGGCAAAAAGGGGTTGTTTTAGAATTGTTAAGACACCCTTTATCTGTGTTTTATCTATGCCTTTCCCTCCCCCCTGGCAAAAAAGGTAACATTTTGTTTATTTTGTTGCTCAAGTGTGTGGGGGGGGGGGGGGGGATGGATGTTGATGGGGGGAAAAGGAGTGTTCACTCCCCCCCCCCCCACCTTCCCCATCGGGGTGTTTTATTTTTGACAGTACATCAATTCTCAACAGTAATTATGTATCATTCTGTGGTTACAAACATCAGGCCTTTGACCAGGCTTTCTGCCAGAGAAGTGAACATTTAAACAGTACACCGTGGAACTGCGATTACGATGAGCGTTTACGATGAGAGTTTCAAATCGCTCATTCTGCCTTCAAAATTAAGCATAAACGTACCCTAAAACAAACAAAAATGGGAGACATCCAAGAGTGGGAAGTAGATTTGTTATACACTGTTCTTTGTTCTGAACCTAGGTCTAGATATTGGAAGAGTTTGCATCCAGCAGGTACATAGTGATGATAATGGCAGCACAGCTAAAGCCGGAGTAATAATCTCTAAGTTTGGAAGCACTTTATAGGGATTGTAATAAGCGCTATATCAAAACTTAGTATTATTATTATAATGACTAAGAGCTGAAATCTATCATAATCATCTTGTACTTAAAATTTTCCTTAGTTGTAGACATTTTCGAAATTATCCAGCCCTTTTTTCATTCTGTTTGTGTTTGTGTGTGTAGGGCGGGGGGGGGGGGGGGTAGTGCTACAATATTTCACATAGTGAAGCACGCAGCAGCGATCTGCATAGTACATGCAGTCATACAAATAAGATTGTAGCTCAGTAGTATACGATGTTTTGTTAAAATTATAATTGTCAAGATGATTTATGGTAGCTATACTGAAATCTCTTGAAATCATATGAATGGTTTATATATGGATATAATCTTGCAAAGAATATTTGTCGTAATTCTACAATATAAAGAAATGGCTGAACTATCCACGTGTTCTCATGACAAATGAATATTATAATAACTAACACATATAAGTGTCCTTCTGAATCTGTAGTCATCCTCTACATAGTTATTATTTCATCATCCCTGCAATTGTATTTACAGTCAAGTTAAGGGTTTCTTTTATTTGGCACAACTTCTTGCAATGTTATTTGCCAACACTGTGTAACTACTTCAACCAAAGTTCTGGTGGATACAATGTCTCGCCGTCTCGTCTGTGGTGAATAGCGCTACAATGTCAATAGCAAACTTGGCAAACCTATTGTCCAGAATTACAGATGTCCTTGGTTGCTTTCATACCTGCTCAATCTAGCAAAACGTGTGCTTCAGCAAGTGGTGCTATTTGTTGCTATACTACCAGCCTGTCGTATAAAACTTATGAATAGCAAAACCATCAAAATAATTTTCTTTTAAAGGGCCACTCTAACCCAACTAACAAAGCCTTTTAAAACAAGAATACACCTCTACTTATTAATATTCCAGCCTCTGATTTTTCAGAAAATCTCTGTATTGACCAAAAAATGATAATAACCATCCATTTTCAAAGTTCTCAAGCTTGCTGTGCTACGCCCCTCGAAAAGGGGTAAAACAGTTTACGTGGCCTTGCTGACGCATTTGACGTCATTGAGGGCATGTTCGATTTGTGCTACAACTAAGGATCTTACAATCTCTTTGTAATTCCTAAATGAAACGTACTGTCATAGTTTGCCTTTTTAAAGACATTTAAAGCCTAAATCACCCTCCTTTTTACCGGAGAGGCTCTGGTAGTGACATTATAAACAGTTGCGCAATACAGCTCCGAATTTTTTTGGTTGGGGTTCTGAACGTTCTGAGTCGTTATTTTTAAGCTACATTCCAGAATTATTGATGATTTATAATAAAATTCATTGTCATGTTCGGAATCTCCGTCAAAAAAATGTCTAGATGTTTTTTTTCTTCATTTTTTTAGCCTGTTTTGGTTAAAGTGGCCCTTTAAGTAAAAGAAAAATCGGATGCTCACTTGAGTTCAACCGTGAAGTGAGTGACAAAGAACTTGTCATGCTCTAGCTGAAATCTGAAATTCCATTACCTTTCTGTTGCCGACACAAAAGCATTCCTTTTCCATCGATAATAGACAAGCAGCTCGTTTATGATCCCCGGGAATAAAAAAAAAACAGCACAAAGGAATTAAACTGGCTCAGAAAATGAACGTGTATGCAAAACTAGTTATCGACTGAGTTACACCAGCTATGATAGTATGCAGGCGCGTACGCAGGGGGGCTGGGGTTTGGGGTTAACCCCCCCCCCCCCCCACATAAGTTTTGTTTATGTGTATGTTTTGTGTATGTTTTTTTTTTAACCCCCCTCCCTTTCTTCTTTTTTTTTTGTACAATTTTTTTTTTTTTTAAATGCCAATGGCTGACCTAAAAAAGGTGACCTTACCCCCCCCCCCAACGGAACATAATGTCAAATTTTCAAATTTCGAGACCAAAAAAGAAAAAAATGTCTGCTTACCCCTCCCCCCCCCCCCCGGGCTTTTAATAGTAATTACAACAAACACTCCTATTTACTGTAATGGAGCAGTCCAACCACTGCTCACTGAACCGCTGTAGCGTGATGAAGTAAACAAAACGTTCAGGTGAATGCAACGGACGCGTAAGGGATTTTTTTTTGTCCAAATCGGGCCTAAAGTTTTCATTATGCTGTCTCTCTGTCTCTCTCTTTCTCTCTCACTACTTTATATCTCTATCTGACTGTGTTTCATTTCTTCTGTCCACTTCGATTGTCTTTTTCTCCCTTTCTGATACTTGTTCTATCTGGTTGAGATTTATAACTACATCATTAAATCTTGTTTAATTGGTTCTTCTATCTTCTAGTACAGTACAGGTATAAACATTTTGCACATGAAGAAAATTGGAAGTCTTTAGCTATTATTGGTCACAGTAAGAAAAGCGGATAATTAAAGAATGCTGTACTGTAAAACATCACCAGAAGAAAAAGACGTGGAGAGGAGGAAGGAGAGACACACAGAGAGACAGAGAGAGAGTGAGAGAGAGAGAGAGAGAGAGAAACAAGAAAATTGGAAGTCTTTAGCTATTATTGGTCACAGTAAGAAAAGCGGATAATTAAAGAATGTTGTACTGTAAAACATCGCCAGAAGAAAAAGACGTGGAGAGGAGGAAGGAGAGACACAGAGAGAGAGACAGAGAGAGTGAGAGAGAGAGAGAGAGAAACAAAGTGGAGGAATGAGAGTCGAAGGGAGAAAGATGAAAAGGCAGAGAGAGCACAGAGAGAGAGAGAGCACTGAGAGAGAGAGAGAGAGAGAGAGAGATAAAGAAAGAGGGATAAGGAGAGAGGGGATGGGAGAGAGATAGAAATACAGAGGAATGACCAGAAATAAAGAATTGTAGGCCCCTATATGTAAATTTCTGAACCCAACCTTATAAATGTAAAATACAAAAAAAAAATATTTGGAAAGTCCTCAATCACGGTTATATATATATATATCATAATCAAAACATTGGAAATAAAAACCCTTGAGAGTTGTATTTCACTGTACAGGTTTGCGGTTTCAATCGACATGTTTTTCGTTTGCTCCCGAATAGCAGTTGAACCTTAATCTTTCCACAATGCGGGCTTTACATACTTTGTGCGCATAGT